ATGCTAAATGAAAAGTTTCAGCCAAATATGGTTAGCTATAAAATTGTTCTTCTTAGGTTATGCAAAACATATAGAATTAATGATGCTATCAAAGTGTTAACAACAATGATTGAAAATGATTGCTAGCCAAATAAAACTATTTACACTATTGATTGAAGGTATTTGTTTCTCTAGATCAAGAGCTCAAGTAATGCAATTGGCCAATTCTCTTTACAATATGAATATTATCTCTGAAGATTAATTTAAATGGTTGCATAAGACCTTTCATTTGTTTGATGTTTAAAAAGACTATCTTTATTCAGATGATGAGAACTAGCTTTGGTTGTTCTTAGATGTCTCATAAGTCCCTTTTTTTGGTTTTTTATTTTTATTTTTTTAATAGCTTAAACCGAACATAACTAAATTGAAATCAATTGGTTTGAACCGATTTGGATTTGGTTTAGGTTTTTAATTAAAAAAATTGTTTTGGCTATTTATTTAAGTGAAAAGCAAACTAAACTGAAAATGCTCACCTCTAAAGCAACTAATCTTTTTACCATATGGATTCCAACTGAGTGTACAATGATGATATAGTTCCTAGAAGAAACATGATAAAATGATATATAAATGAGTAATGCTCGCAATCCTACACTTAGAAAGAGCTACACACACTGTTTGCACACAAGACACTCCAAACAACCCATTTGTCATTGATCTCCATCTGAGTCTCACTTACGTATTAGAAAAAGATCTAGGTGTGATACAAGCTCCATGACTTTACAAGTTTGGAAGCAAGAATACAACTCCTATTAAATAAGATAATCCTCCTATTAAATAAGATAATCCTTACTTTGTCATGGAATATTACACACTCGATCATTTAAATAACCATGAAGGACTTAAAAACCTTCGAGAGCATATCAATATGAGAAGCATCTCAGAGCTTGTCACACAAGATTATAATGCTATTTACAAAGTTCTTCTAATAATACTACATAAATCTACACAAGAATGGTACCATATTTTAAAGTCTGACTCTATTATCTATTTTTGTGATCTCAACTTCAAATTCATCTCTTGCCTTATAAAAAAATTTCAAATAATATAATATATTTAATAAAGCTCTTTACTATCACATAACAAGAAGATTAGAGCATCGTAACCTATCTCTAAAGATTTAATGAAGAGATGTTCGGTACGAAAAGACTATTTGAGCTTATTACTATAAAAAAACTTGATTAATGGATTTTAAAACTATTTTTTATGGGAAAGGTTATATTCTCTTCCTGACTTGAATCTCCTCAGCATTAAACGCACAATGAAAAATTATATCAATATGAATAAAGTCAATGCGACTAGAAAATGACACTTTTTTTTTTCTACTTATGAGCAGAGTCTTCATAATGCTATTGATCTCCCATAAGAACATCCAAAAAAGTATCATGATGCACATTTATGATTGCTTCATATTTCTCGATCCCATGACTATACTTTTAACCATCACACAGGCTAAGAGAAGCTAGTTGATATAAGAGAGAAAACTTATGTAATATTTACCTTCCATAAAAAGTGTCATGAACACGAGGAATCATAACAAATTTTATCTTTTTTCACCATGATCATAGGCATGGCACTAAAAAATGGCATGCCATAAAAAAAAAAAGATAAAAAGATTAACCACCAAAGATTATCTTCACCGGTTCATGAAAAAAAAAAACAGAGCATGAAAGGAAAAAAGCTTGCACACTTAATGATCTATCTAAGATTAAAGCTCTAAGAATTGTATCATTATCTTTTGAATTTTTCAAATAAAAGACAATAATTTTTTTTCATGTCTCTATTAAAATCTTTGTGATGTATCTTCATGAAAAATCTTCATAACAAGACCTTTATGTCTCCAAACATATCTCTATGAAAATCTACATGATAAGATCTTCATGTTTTTAAACGTGCCTCCAATGTCTCTAAAATGATCAAGGATTATTCTCCATATCTCTGAGACAACTTGTCTCTAAAAAACTTAAGCATTCGTTTCCTAAAACATTAGCAAAAGCCTGTATGCATAGCATAAAAGGTGTGAGCATTCATCTTTCATGTAGACTCAACCATAATAATATTTTCATACAAATATTAAAGCAACATTTGTATAAATCAAGCAATTTTTTCTATTCCACTTCTTCCTTCTTAACCAAGCTCGGGTGATTAGGTATTACCACCCAGGCACCAAACTTACTAATTGTCTGTTAGGCCCTAGTGAAAAGGCCTGAACTAACAATTAATACAATCTTTATTTTTTTTCTCTTCCTTTTTCTTTCACATTTATTTTTCATAATACTAACATTTTTAATGCACAACACATATAATTTTTATTTCTTTCACACACATACTTTTTGTAGGACATATATTGTTTTTCATCACCAATAATTACATTTATGCTACGTTTATCGGAACAAATGAATACCAATGAAAATAAATACACTCTACCATATAGATGTGGCACACCAGCTTCCCCTCCAATCTTGTACCAAGTATAGAACCCATTACACAACATCACATCAATATATAAACGAGCCACCTTAATTAACTAATAATACAATTCCCTTCTCAATGAAAAAATTATAAGTTTGATTATATAAATACACCTAGTTACCAGACTAATAAGAGATAATCTTGCTGACATACTAGATCCACAATCTTGTAATGCCCAGAAAACAGTGTAAATAAAAGTTGAAGTTCAATAATTTTAGTCAAATTTAGGGTAAACAACAAAGTATTTTAATCTAAGATTTTTTTTTAAAAAGAAAAATGTGCTATATCAAATTCAGAAAGCAAAAACCAAGAAAGAAAGAGACTAGAGGTAGATGCTCTACCCTATAATTTTTTACATTTTGCTGGTTTCTATCTCTAATTGGACCAGAAGAAAAGGAATCTTCCTTGTCCGTTTGCTGCTTGTCAATTACTCTTTTGTACATGTTTATCTCACTCTTTCATTAGACCAGCAAAAAGAAAGGAAAAGGCTTTTTTGAAATTGGGCCCTAGCCTACTGCGACAAATTTGTAACGTAGCGCCTCAACTTTTAGCTATGTGGTGTTCAAGGAACTTTTACAGACTAGAAAAAAATTATAATTTTTAAAATAATTAAATTTATAATTAAAAAAACTATGTTTAAACATGATATTTTTATATCTAGAAATTTTAAAAAGCTAGTTTTCTAAATTTATATTGAATTTAAAAATATATATTTTAAAGATTCTTCACATTTTTTCTCCATAAGTTTTCCACTATTTTCATATAAAAAAAATAACCAACATATAAATTTAAATTTTATTATAAATATAAAATAATTTTCTTTTAGTTAACAATGTAACTGTTTTATAATAATTTTTAATTTTGATAAAATTGAATTAATATTATACAATTAGATTATCACAAATATAAAATATTAAGTAATTACTATAAATTATCATTTTATTTTATTTTATAAATTGGCACAAGAATCTATCACAATGAAATTGATAGGATGAAGGCATCCATCAAAGCTCATAACCAAACCACCGCTGTCTGGTTTGCGGCTGTAGAATAATGACTAGTGAACTTGTTCCGTTAAAGAGAGAAGACTTTTTAGAAAGTCATCAGAACCGTTTTTGGTTCTGTCAACACGAGCAGATTTTTTCTCCGTGTAAAACTTCGCAGCTCATCCTCTCAGTGTAAAATTTTATGTTCTTTTAATTTGATTTTTTTTAATAATTTAATTTTAATTAAAAATCAATTGATTTTAATTTCTTATAAAAAATAGGATTGAAAAAAAATTAAGATCGAAAAAAACACTAAACATGGATGGCATGTTATAAATTTTGTAAAAAATATATTTTAATTTTTAAACTTTAAAAATCATACAAATTATATAATTTTAGTACCTCAATATTTTCAAATTCAATTTTGATACAAAATTTAATTTTTAGTCCCTAATTAAAAGATGCAAAAGAAAAGTTACTAAATTCTGGTGATAGGAAGAAATTATCGGATTCCAAACAAGCACATGGATGAAACATGTTGGTTTGGCTTGCTAGGCTTAGCACAACCTCGCCTTTGCCTTTTTTTTTTCTTCTATTTTTGAAAATTTATTATTATTTTTATGGTTTTTTATTTTTTAATTTATATTTAAATTAATACCCTTTCTCTATTTCATTTTATTTGAAGAATCTCTTTTAAATGATAATTATTTTTTTAGTTATGTATTTAAATTTGAAGAGTTTTTTTTATTCATCTATAATTTTTTTCTTTTGTATGGATGAACTTTATTTTTATTTTTTTATTTTTTAGATAATATTTCTAATATTTGTAGCCATTCATGCTGTTTTTTTCTCTCTCTTATTTTATTCAATCAATTTAATTCATATCTCTATTTCTGTTATTGTTTGCTTAAATAAAAAAAGATTTTAATAAATAAATTTAGTAAACACAACCGGGTAAAATACTTTAATAAATAAATTTAGCAAACATAACCAAGTAAATATCTTGCATTACATATCTTGATCTCCACTTGTTTCTTAATTTTTCCAATTTTATTTTTGGGTATCCTTAATGACTTTTTATCTATTTATTCGTACATATAGTTCTCAATTTATTTGATTACATGTATGCATAAAAATTTTCATTTGAACTTAGGTCTTTTAAACTACAAAAATACATTAAAAAAACCCACATATACAGTTATTTAATACAAAATAAAAATATATGATCCGCAGCGAGGCGCGGGTTACATAACTAGTTTTATTCTAATTTACATAATTGCGCTATATTTTTTATTAAGTCAAAAAATATCTTGAACATAAAAATAATAATAATTAGGCTATAAACAATTATTTGACAATGTTATTAAACTCGATCTAGAGGATCAACTTTGAAATCTTCCGATATTACTCATTACCTAACCCGAGTTTAAAATTACACAGTGTGAAAGTTTTTCTGACATGATCTAGTCAACTTGGTTGGACTACTAACTAGTAAAAAAGTTTGAGAATGAAAATGAGAAAAAAAGAATAAAATTGACAAGAAAAAAAACTTTTAGCCAACTTTTATCTAGCCTGAATTTAAAATTAATTAATGTGGGAGTTATCTTGATATAAATTAATCAACTTAGCCTATTCGAAAAGAAACCATTCCAATGGTAAAAAACCATTTGAGAATTTTTTTAAAAAATAACATTAAACTAAAAAAATCATATCATAAAAAAAATATTACATCAAACTCCATACCATGTAGAAAAAAATATTGTAGCTGCATAAGTTGTTGACAAAGATACAGAGTATTATAGATTACCACAATACTTTATCTTTTTTCAATCCCTCAACTTTTTTTTTATTTAGCTCTTATAAAGCCAATTCAATAACAAAATTGAAAAAAAATTATTGTGAAACGGAAAGATCCAATGATGGATAATCAAGGTGAAAAATGTGGAGAAAATGGGTGGTTGTTTTAAAATTAAGGTGAAAAGTTCACTTTAATCCTTCTAACTTTTTAAATAATGAGTTTTTGGTCCTTTCAGTTTACTCACATTCTACTTTTTATCTGTAATTTTATTTTATTTTTATTTTTAGTTCCTAGTTTGAGAGGAAATAGATAGAGTTGCTGAATTCCGGTAATAAAGAAAAAAAATCTTGATTAACATCAATTTCAATCATGAAAATAGTCAATTTTGGTAGCAATAAAATTTATTTGACGAGAGAGTTTTATTGAGGTGTTTTTCTCTTAAAATTGTTGAAACAAATGAGATCAAACTTGGAAGAGAATCTTGTTTTTAATTTGGATTTGTGTTTCTAGCTAGTTTTAGAGTTTTTTTGTTGATTTGTTTTGTTTGTTTACATCACATGGATGTTTTTAGGTGTTTTAGTATAGAAATTGGTTGAAAATTATATTTTTTTAGATAAAAAAACACCTTTCCTGATTTTTTGACCACCCTTCTGGTGGTTGAAAACTAGAAAGGTAGTTGATGCCTTGCCTTTTTAAAATAGGCCACGTATGTGTTTAGCTTTCTAGACCTAGTAATGCATGATTGTTTTTATTTTTATATATTTTTTTATTTAAATGATACCTTTTTTTTATATATGTTCTTTTATTTGAATGATTTTTTATTATATTTAAATTAGTATCCTTTTATTTCTGATATTTTATATTGTCTATTTTAATTTTTTATATAGCAGTTGTTTTTATAATATTTTACATGTATTTAATATTTCAAAAAAAAAATATTCTAATTAATCTATATTTTTTATGTTTTATATAAACAAACCTTCATGATGTATTTATAAAAATAAAAATTATTTTTTTGGTAAGAAAAGATGACCTTTAAAATTAAAAAAAAATGCACATTAAAGAAAAATGATGAAATTCAATATCATACATATCTATCTTTTATTCTTTTTTTTTTTATGAGAATGATTATATTTTTATTTTAGAATTTGATTGGCATTAGAAACTTTTTTTTTTAATTTATTGGTTGATATATTTTAATTTTTTTTAGTGTAAATAATATCTTTATATTTCTCAATTAAAAAAATTATGATGGCGTGAAATGTATTCACAACATTGTTTTAATTTTTTATCACATTAAAAATTAATTTGAGATCCTCAGGTATTGTGTTAATAATTTTTTTATAAATTTATTAATATATATATATATATAATTCTTATTTTATATAAATATTAACTTTTCAATTAATATTTATATATATTTTTAATATAAAAAATTATATTAATAATATCTACACATTTATTTTTTTTACAATAAAAAAATTATTCAACCAGCGTTCGGACAAGCATAATTCGATGCCCTGTATTATAGCACGAGTTATCACCCATAAGGCTGTTTTTCACTAGATTTAATGACCGTACAAATCATCAATTAATGTTTTTTGAATCTAAACCTAAGATATATAATTAATAGATCTTGTCGGCTTATCAAGTCAGGTTTTTTGAGGGGCAAACACTGAACCAAAAACCATCAAAAGCCAAAATGTGGTGGCAAAACTTACTAGCCAGCCAAAAAAAAAAAAAAAACATAAAATTTGTCAACTCCCTAGCATGATAGAACAACTTCCATCTTCCTCTCTCAATGGCTTCCATTCCTGATTTCTTTTCCGACTATCAATTTCCTCCAGATGATTTTTCAGAGGTTACATCAATAATGGCTGACGAAGATCAAAGTTATGTGAGAACTGATTCATTTTCTAGCACATATATGTCAAGTTGTGCAATTTCTAATTTTAGTTGTGCAGTGTTAGGTGATCATCAAGATCATGGCAACTTTCCAGTGATGTCTGATCATAGAAATGGTGATGCATTTGATATTTTTCTGGGGGAATCTGAGATCATGTCCCCGATTCCAGTAACCAATTCATTGCCTCAACCCTCTGGCATTTTGGATATAGATGTACTACCCCAATTAATGGATTATAAAATGGGGGGGCACAGGGCTGACATTGCTAAAATTCAGAATTTCGATGCTGGTTTCCGATGGCCGGAAGGTTATGCCAAATTTTACGCCCCTCTGCCCTCTTTTCGGAGAAAAATGGGTATGCAAGTACATGCTTCTATGCGTGATGGTATATAGGGTTTTGATACAAGATGTTTTTTGTGCTCAATTTCTTTGCATATAGATTTTCTTTTTGGTGCTCATGGTTTATAAATTGTTATTTAGGAAGTTGAATACGATCAAACGGCGTCAACTAAAAACTCCGACACGAAAAATGTTGCCCGGTATACAGCAGAAGAGAGGAAAGAGAGAATTCTCAAGTATCTGAAGAAGAAAAACCGCAGGACGTATAACAACAACGTTAAGGTTAGTGTATATTCCGTACTATCTACGCATGGGTTTAGCCCTATATTCAGAAACTGTGCATTTATTAATCAGCACTGATCCTTGCTACAGTACGCTTGCAGAAAAACCATAGCTGAGGGGAGACCTCGTGTTCGCGGGAGATTTGCAAAGCCCGACGAAGTTTTCGAAGAAGAAACTGAAGTTAAGACGAATGATATTATACTTCATAAGCACCAAGAAGAAGGAAAACATAGTGACGGTGAAGCCATGCGGGCACTTCTAGCCACAATATTCGAAGAAGAATGCTAGAATTCAAGCTCCTTAACACTGGAATGTTCAACTATAGTATTCTATTCGACTAAAGTTGCTTGATGAAACCAACTGGATGAATTTATATATCATACTATGTAACATTTGCTAACATTGAAAATTTTAATATTGTTAAAGAGTTACTTATGCCACTTAAAAGTTCAGTTTTTTTTTTCATTTATTTCCCTTGGTTCATCTCGACAACAAGACCACATGCCATGATAGGGCTCCGGTTTAACCATCTCCTCTATACACGTGTAAGCAATCAATGAATCCAATATAAGTTCTGAAATGCCACTGTGCAAGTTTCTAAATAGCAACTATTGACTTCTTCCCTTGAACACCGAGTCAAGCCAGCCTATTGGGCCTTTTAGCCTAAAACACAAATTTTCTGTTTTAATCCAAGCGAACATCTAACCATGCCTCACAATCATAACATTTATTCAAAGGGAGAAGGGACAGTTTTAAGGACAAACTTTGCTAGCTAAGGATCTATTACAGAGGTTTGATCACTGCAGTTTTTCAGTATGCTCAATTGCATTTTCTTACTAGCAATGCAAACTTCTCATCATTGCAAACAAATAAATAACAAAAATATCAATTGCAAGTCAGCAATCAAGAATAAGCCATGTCGTAAGAAAAATTTGCTGAATAGATGAAATTACTCTGTAAACATCACAGTTACAGCCCAACGAAACATGGATCCTGCAGACCAGAAAGGCTCGATCTTAACCTAGGAAATTCATAATCACCAAATGGAGCACCAAATTGCACAAAACAAAATCAGCAAAGGCACGCTCTGGTGGTAAATCCTGTAAATGGATGAAAGAAACATCAACTATCTGTTTGTAATACAAAAATGAGGAATGCCATCAACTCAGTTCATTACTTCCTTTTAAACACTCACTCATTTAAACTATCTGCATAATGACTCCTTGTTATACTCAACTCAAACTGGTAACTGCCTTTAGAAAATAGAAAGTTTAGGCCAAATGCCGAATCAACTTTTTTCAGTTTGCTGTATCTTTTCCAAATCAGTGACCAGTTATCAGTTGGAGAAAGACAAATGGTGGTGAACTGGACACCTTAAGTGAGCAAGTGTTTAAAAGCATGAACCAAAGAGAGTAGCACAGCTCTACAAAACTCTAAGAAAAGGATTAAAACCACAAGATGAAAAATGAACAGAATAGTTACCTTGAATTCCTTGTTTTCCTTGTTCACTTGGATACGGAGACAAACTGTGACAAGTGAAACAAATTAATCTCACTATTGTGAAATGTGGCAACGATTCCCTCCCTACTATGCAATAATTACTTACCAGCAAGGACTGCAGTCCCAATACAAGAAAGTACTCCAGAGAGAAAAGAGTTGAACGGAAATGACCCAACAATGGCCATGTAAACTACCTGTTGATCACCAAAAACAATTTTAAAATGCTCCATGTTGGACAACATACTAACCAAAATTTACATTGAACAAATCAAAAAGTCGATTATAATCATAACATAGCCAGACATAGAGAGGGGAAGCGTGGTATATTTGTGATGGCTCAATGTATGTGCTAGCAGCACAATAGATACGTTCTGTATAAAATCACCCTAAATTGGTCATTGGAAGTCTCATTGAATTCAAACAAGCAGTTCATCTTTGATGCCAAAAAACACATGTAATTCTAGGAAGAGTAACCGGATTAGATTACTTATGCTCTTCCAAGTCAACAAGAAAAAAAATCATTCACAAAGGGGCTCAGAGAAATTGAAAATGTTGAAGCAGCAAGTTCGGAAATTGCATCACTTCCTCTGGTAGAAACTGGGAAATGAAGCTTTTGGAAGGCAGCAACCAGAGGGAGGGTGTGAGGTTAGCATGGATGACCTCTGTGCACTATTGTCCTTAGTTTTCACTCTTATAATATTTCCATGAACAGGGCACCATACATCTAATCATGTACATGGATGATTCGAGGTAACCTCCATTAAGAGGAACTTTGATGCCGTTTGGGTATATATGTAGTTTAATGTGCATATAGTGCGTATGCACAGTACATAAAATGTTGTTGGTGTCCCAACTTGTTTGACAGATTAGCGATCCATCTATAATTTTTTAACCTTAAACTGCTTTTGGTTGCTACCTTTTTATTTGCTTAATAATTAAAGGAATGATAGTGATCTCAAAGAATTTTGTTCTCCTTTTTATTCCCTTCTGTCCACTCTAAGACTTCGTTATACATCATTCGTTGAGTTCTTCAGTCTTTTTTTTAAAAAAAAATCTAATACCAAATGGCATGCTGCTAAATTCCAGTTAAATTTAAATCTAGCAAAAATGAGCTCTTTGAAGAGGAAAAATGACTGTTGCATTTGGGAGTCATCAAGCATGTTGCAGTGCTCATTGGTTATTCTTGTTTAAGACTTTCTTCCTCCCTCTTTCCAATGCTAAACTGGAACACAAGGAAGTGCGTACCAAATGAAAACAAAGTGATGCAACGTGTAGCAGAAATACATACGAGCAAACAAAAGACAACTCCATTGACCAATAGGATAAAAATAACAGAGAGGACATTATCTACATGAATATAACAATATTTGCGTGTATCACGACCTAAGTCATCAACTTTTTGGCTCTCCAAGCCCTTCTCCCTCGTTTTTCCACAATCCAACCCTAAACTTTATAAAAACACAAAAAAACACTCAGGTATTCACACAATTAAGTAAAATAACAAACGCTACTAGGCTCTGTTCAACAGTTGAGAAACAGAAAAAAAAAGTCAACATTACACCTTGTTAGAAACATAAAGAAGAAACGCACTTGACTGATGGACTCACACCATCAGTTAACAAAACATTTCATACAAGGACATTTTACCGCACATATTAGTTTATTCTATTCTTTCTAATAAACCCTTAAGTTTCCAAATGAATCCCATAATATTATTCTGTATCAAATTCATCATCCACTGATCCAATCGAACTGTCAAAGATCAAAATCCTAACATTACCATGGCATGGAAACAATAAACATATACTAAAACTCAAAATCACCGCATCAGAACGAGTTGTACCTGAATTATAGCAGCCAAAACTGCAAAACCCACATACAGATCGATGATCTGGACACCAAAAAAGAAGTCAATTTTAGAACTTCATGGTAAAAGAAAAAAGGGATAAAAAGAGAGCGAGAGCGAAAGAAACCTTAAGGCTAGTAGGAGTGGCAGCATAAGCAGAACGAAGAGAATGGATGAGTGCTTGTGCGTCTTTGCTGGTAGTTCTCCCCATTTTCAATCTCACACAGTCCAGAGACTATAACTGCCGCGAAAAAAGCTTCCGACTTTTTCTTTGTTTTATTATGGGAGTCTGTCTACGCAAATGCAGGGAATTGTAAAATTCGTAGTAGCAGTGGAACAAAAACCCGACGCCGTTTGCGAGTCGAAAGAAAGAGGCCAAGCAGGGATTGCCTCATAAGGGCAGTTATGTTATTTTCTCAAGTCCTCAGCGTGTGCGTCCATCAGGTCACTCGTGTGTGGTCACTCTAGTAAACTCTACACGTGGTCTTTTTTAACGTATGTATTTCCTTGATTTAGGTCTATTCGGAAGGACGGCAAGGTTTTTTTTTTAATATTTTTTTTATTAAGAAATTTATTCAAATAATATTTTTATTATTTTTTAAGATTTATTTTTAATTAAAATAATAAAAAACACAAAAAAAATCTTTTTTAAAATAAATTAAATTATTCAAAAACACGTTGAACCAAGTTCGAAGACAAGCCAGACAATCTCCTAACCTCATTTTAGATTTTGGACTACTTTCTGTGTGTTGCTGTTCAACTGAACTGCCCGACTTTATAAAACTCCTCCAGGTTCCAAGAACAAAATATAAAAAATGGCGTCCATTTTATCCTTCTCTACCATTCCCACCCTTGGCTCCTCCTCCTCCTCCTCTCGAGCTTCCTTTCCTTATCGGCTAAGTTCGCTTTCTCTTAACCACCGGTAATCTCTCTCTTGCCTTTTATTTTATATTTTTCATGAAGGTTAAATTTTGAAATGAAATTTATTGTCTATGCTGTGAATTTTATTTGCTTTTTTTCCCCGTTAATTCGGTTGTGTAAGTGAGAGCGTATTATTAAGTTCTAAATCGAATTAGTGGACAGATTAGCATAACAATTAGCTTGCATTTTAGTGAAATTGAAGCCTAAATATCGTTGCATGTATATGTGTATATATTAATTATTTTTAGGTGTGGATTTCTTATGATTTTAAGACTGAAAATAACTAAGCAGCGTGACTCTCTAGTTCCAGTTTGTGCAAGTCTGTTGTAAAGTGCAGCTATGCAGAAGCTGGCGTAAAAGATGACTTCGGATCCACAACAATTGATGTTGTGGCTGATGTAAAGACCGAAAGGGTAAGATTTGGCACCACTGGATCGGTGTTTTCTTCTATTTGCTTGTATTATTTTTGTTTTAGCTCACATTTGGTGTCTTTTACTTACCCACTGCTGTGCTTTTCCTAGTAGGTTGTAGTCCTAGGAGGTAGTGGTTTTGTGGGTTCTGCCATATGCAAGGCTGCTGTGTCCAAGGGCATAGAAGTTATAAGCTTAAGCAGGTGAGGGATCTTCTCCTAGCTGATGCGTACATGTTTCTTTTGGGGTTATGTGGATTTCTTTGTTATGTAACTGCTACCCATGTCAAAGCATTGGCTACCTGTGAACAAACTTGTTGACAATTTTGTTGTTTACTTTATCATGTTTAGTTTTTTCATGTCTGAAACTCTGATTCATTCTACAGGTCAGGGCGCCCTACTTACCCTGGTTCATGGATAGATCAGGTTACCTGGATACCAGGCATGTTCTATAATTTACCCAGTCTATAATGGGTTGATGTGTCATGAATCAGCTTTTAGGATCATAATCAATGAGCTCTTTGTTCCTTAAGCAGATATTTAGATCAGTTCTCGAATTTTTTTTAAGATTTCGGCATAATTCTGAAGTGGTTGTATGCTCTTACTATCTTAAATTTGTTCTGATTAGTAGTCTACACTTTGCTTAGTTTTATCTCATGCATTTGTTTTCATATCATGCAGGAGATGTTTTCTATACAAACTGGGATGAGATACTAGTTGGGGCCACTGCAGTTGTTTCAACAATTGGAGGTTTTGGTAGCGAGGAGCAGATGCAAAGAATTAATGGCGAGGCTAACATTGTTTCTGTCAATGCTGCCAAAGAATTTGGTAAGAACTGTCAGTCCTGGTGAACTTAAATCTTTGCCGTAATTTGCAAAGCAATCAGTTCTTCCCAGTTAATGACTTGCCTGTTGACGTTGTGACCAACCCCTTAAGAAGGGCCAGGAGGGGACTTGCTCAAAATCTGTGCTGGTTGCAAGAAAACATTAGGTTCAAGTATATGTACGGGTAGATCTTGACTTAACAGAAAAGGAGATGGAGAAAAAAGGCAGTGGAAGTTTTAATCAAAGACACAACTTTGTTTATTTATATCTTAGAGAAAAGAGAAGAAATGATAGAAGAGAAGTTGATAGCAGCATTGAGATTGAAATGATGGCTGTGTTTTCATGGATTTTTCTATTTCAATTATGGCCTCCAGGGCACAAATCTGAGAGCAAGAATAGCAATTCTTACTTAACATTGACTGGCTTCTTAAGTTTCAATGTTTTAGACCCTGTAATTAACATTACAGAAATGAAATATGCTAGAAAGAAACAAAAGCAGGCATTTATATTCCTTTCCTGAGGACTATAAGTAACAAACTGAGAACATTCTACCAATAAAAAATGCCAGCATTTGATTAAAACATAGCTGTCTGTTAAGATTTCTTGGTTAGATGCCATAAACCACTGTTAATCTAGAATTTTATTCCTGCAGATTACTTACAACCTTAATTCTCTCTTTTTGCAGGAATTCCCAAGTTTATCTTCATCTCAGTGCATGATTACAATCTACCATCATTTGTGCTATCAACTGGATACTTCACAGGGAAGAGGAAGGCAGAGTCAGAGGTTCTCTCCAAATATCCCAATTCAGGTAAGTTCATAATGGGCCTTTTCCAACTGTAGTTGTGTTTCCAAAAATTTATAATGCTGTAATGTGTACATTGTAGTGTTAGGTTACTGGTTTTGTGTGAAAAGCAATTGAGAAAGTAGAAATTTGTTTGGAAAGCATTTTGTCTAAGCTAGTCATTTGCATCTTAAGATCAACTGACTGTGAGATCAATGAGCACTAAGAAATCATTAAGCGAATGATTAATGAACATTGAGCGTGCTCATGTTTGCTGCATGCTGATCAATAGAATGTTTTTAATGCACTTGCTATTGCACTTATGTGAAGTAGTTGATTGCTACTGAGTTTTCAGCTAAAAAATGGGAGAATGATCATTGCTATCATCATACTGACTTTTTTTTGTAGTTAGAGGGATTGTATTAAAATCCATCCCCTCCTTATTGAAGGGGTTGCCTTCTAGCTAATCCATTCTTTCCACTCATGGTTCCGAGCAATTCTTTTGACCTCTGTATTGCTTCTCATTTATCTTGAATTTGAATTTCCTCAGGTGTAGTGTTAAGACCTGGTTTCATCTATGGAAAAAGGAGGGTTGATGGTTTTGAGATTCCTCTGGATTTGATTGGGCAACCGGCAGAGAGAATTCTCAGTGCTATCGAGAACTTCACCAAACCCTTAAGTTCCCTTCCAGCATCGGATCTCCTGTTGGCACCACCTGTTAATGTTGATGATCTTGCGCTTGCGGTAGTAAATGCAGTGACAGATGATGACTTCTTCGGTGTATTCACAATTGAACAAATCAAGGAAGCAGCAGCAAAGGTGAAAGTGTGAATTGATTTCCAGAGCAAGAGAAGATTATTGAAAACCAACACATCTACTAACAAATGCCTTTTACCTCAACTTTGCCTGAATTAAATATATACAAAACCAACTGTAATCCACAATTGTGATATTTTCCATGGATGGATTAGCTGTAATGATATGCTCAAATTTCCTCCACAAGCACAAGTGAATACACAAACACTTCTGAATTCAACAGATTTCCAGTAGCGTAGGGCATTTTTTATCTGCATCTCGTGTTTTCAATAATTCGTCAAAATGGAATGTGTTTTTTCAATTTATTATATGATTCATTATTATAAACTTTCCTTTTAATTTTATTCACACCGTTTAATTTAGATAAATTATACTCCATTGATTGAAATCGAAAATAAAAGTGTTCAATTAACAGAAGGGTTTCTAGTACACGGCACAAGCATGGGAGAAAATGAACTTGGCATCATGGTGGACGATGCATATCTCTGAATTCAGGGAATCAGGCAAAGCCGCTCGCTAGCAGGAGTAAACTGCAAATTAACTAACGAGAGGGCCTACGCAAAATTTTCAGTAAATCAAGCCTTAAGAGCGTACTTGAAACAGGAATTTCCCACAGAATTAACCACCGTGGATCTCTCCAAAATGGGAATGTAGTCATAATTGATCAAAGCAAACTACTAATTGGTCATATCATAATATTTTGGGATTTGGATGCCCTTATAGAGGCATTTTCCTAGTGAATCGTTTATTTTTTTTCTCCAAGCATAATTGTGAATCTGCTTGTGAGGGGACTACCCTCACATGGTAGTTGAGCCACATAATTTCTCCTGACTGGAAGTAATGAGTACAGCAAAGTGTTATAAAACCCCAACTTATGCAACTGTAGCTATAACACAAAAGTTGCTTCTTTTGAGCTCGATTTTGGCAACTATAAATCAGTGATACATCAGAATCTACACTAGGAATTACAAACTAGTGTTCCATATTGGACCAAAATTTTGTTGCAAAACCACTTTTCCTCTGCTCTGCATGGATAAAGAATGCTTAGCCATGCCATTTCTTTGCTATGGATCGCTCCGTAAGATACCTATATCAGAGAAACCAAAGTTTCAATAAGTTGAAGGACATAACATTGTATAATCACTTGTCACCATCAGTTAAACCTTCACGGTGCTCAAGTGCCATACTTATTGATACCAGAGAATCTAATCAGTAGGATTCAAAAAATTCTTTTTCAAGTCAGTCAATTCATGATCAACGTTGCTCTTTTATACAGATTTTTCTTAGCAGAGTGCCAGAACCCTTGATGGCTAGCCACATGGAAATCCACTCTGCTTTCTCTGCTTCCCTTCAACAAATTAAGCTATTATTGTATATCATGAATTTTTGTGGATCATTTTTTTTCCATTTACATGCTACCTGACAAGCATTCTGTTGGAACTAGATTTTCCAATATGGACCATGATAATTCAGAAAGCAATTTATTCATAAAAACAAACATGAAACAATTGCTTACTTCCCAGTGTAGAAGCCCGCAGAATACCAAGCGTTTAATACAACTGTCAGATCTGTTTCAGAGCTTGTATTTTGAGTTATTTCCCCTTCA